TCCCACCGGCCTCACCCCAGGGGGGGGCTGGGCAGGGCCCCACGGGGAAACTATTCAGGTGGGGGGGCCGGGAGGACACATTGGGAAGCAGGGAAGCCCGTGGGGGGCAAGGAAGTGCTCAGTGGGGAAGGGGGGGTCCCATGGGAGTGAGGTTGGTCCTATGGGGGAGCAGGGGGCCAGAGGTCTCATGGGATTCAAGGAGAGGCTCTCACTGGGGGAACATGGGGCTTGCGGGAGCCCCACATGGGGGATGGGAAAATGGGGGAGCAGGGCAAGGCTTGGAGGTGCCATGGCGGGGAGGGGAGGGAGCTCGATCCCACTGGGGACAGTGATAAGGCAGAGGAGTCCCCAGGGATCTCCAGCCCCGGCTCAGGTGCGCTGCACCACACCACGCCTGGCACCTGTCTCACGGTCACCCTGTTCCCAGGAGCCCCATGGGTAGGTGTTGGGGGAGGGGAACCCCCTAGGACAAATCCCAGAACAGCCTGGTATGGGGCAGACGTGTAGGCTGGTGCCTGGGCCCTGCCTGGCCTTAAGCCACTGGGAGCCAAAATCATGGTGTCTGTCTATCCCTCCCCATGCTATGTCTGTCTGTCTGTCAAACGACCCAGGCCTTGTCAGACCCATCCACCCCGCAAGGCCTGCCCTATGCGCCTGGGATGAGGGGCCACAGCCAGCCCCTGCTGGTCTGCAAAGGAGCCCAGCTCTGAGGGGCCACTCACATTCCCATCTCCCTATGGCTCCACCCACCCCAACTCAGCCCCCCTTTGCTTGGCCCCACCCCTCTTCATCTCAGTCCATCCCCTGGTTGCCCCCTTCCCTCTATTTCCCTTTGTCCTCCTCTCCTCGTATCACCTCCCACCCGTCTCCGGCTTGGCCCCTCCCACTTTCTCTTTGCTCCCTCAGTTTCTTTGCCCTTCTCCATCCAGCTTGGCCCCACCCATTTTCTTGTTGCCCCTCCCCTTTCACCTTTGGCCCCTCCCACTTTATTTGACCCTCCCCTCTCTGCCTTAGTCCCGCCCACCCTCTCTGTGCCCTGCACTTCTGTCTTTCCACCCCATCCACCTTCTCCCTGGGCCCCTCCCCTCTCACCTGTGCACATGTGGGAGTAGAAGCCCTCGTGTTTGAGCATGATGAGCAGGGAGCCCCAGCCCAGCAGCACGGCGGAAAAGAAAAGGTTTTCCACCACAGCGGTACATGCCATCCACCACCGCCGGCGGTACGCCTGCTGCAACGTCAGCACCATCCTGGCTCCGCAGGGGCCACTGGTGCCCTGCCCCTCCCCTGCTTGGCCCCTCCCACTTTCTCTCCTTGCTTCTCCCAGCTGTAAATAAATAGCAAAGCATAGGAAGTAGGTGTTGCCGGGGTCTGGTCCTTATTTAACCTCTGCCCTGCCAGTCTGGAAGACGGAGTAAACAGCACAGAATCCACTCCCCCTCAATGCCTTGGTAGCCTCATCCAGACAGGCCAATTATCCCTGTGGTATGGAAGGGGAAACTGAGGCACGGAATGACCAAGTGACTTGTGCCAGGCCTGGGGCCATAGCACGGAACTGAATCTAGGTCTAGCAAGTCCTAGGCTAGCACCCACCCATAACCACTAGGCCCTGCTTTCTCCTATTGAGAGTCACTGAAGCTACAAGCCAGGCCAGAGAAACACCCAGCAAGCGTGTCCTCTTGGGCAGGAAATAGACGCAGGTTTGCTCGCTGTGCTCTGGTCTGAGCTGTGCTTGCCGGGGGGCTACAGCTGTGCTACTCTGTGGTGCTGGAAAGCAGGACAAGCAGCGGGCTTACCTCACCCACCTGCTCTCAGTCGTTCAAGCACAAGCGCGCCCGGGGCAGCTGGAGGTCAGACGAGCTGGTCGCAGGGGCCAGTCTGGCCTGGGGGTCTGGGAGTGTGAAATACCAACATGGATTTAATATGGGGATGCCAGGGCTTGCTTGGGAGCCAGGGCGGTTCCTGGGTGATGCAACCACGTCACAGAATCCTAGAATGCGCCTTTTACTCTCTTAACTGACACCACAAACCAGGGGGGCTAGGAACTGCCAGGCCCAGAGGTACCGGGGCAGGAGGGCTAGGAACCGCCTGGCCCAGAAGTGCCGGGGCAGGGGGGCTAGGAACCACCAGGCCCAGAGGTGCCGGAGCAGGGGGGCTAGGACCCGCCAGGCCCAGAGGTGCCGGGGCAGGGGGGCTCCGATTAAGCCCTGAGGAAAGCGACCCCAATCCAGCTGAAGCAGCAGGCTCCCAAAGCTAACTGGGGGGCAGACGGGGAAAGAGCCAAGGGGCGGGAGCTAGGCAGTGCCCCCCAGGCACTCCTTTGGAGACTGGAGGGAAGCGGCTGGAACGACCGACCGAGGGCTGGAATCCTGGCCAGTCCAGCTGGTCCAGCTGGTGCTGGGGCTGCACGTAGCGGGGACTCACTCCGAACTCTGTTGAGCTTACAAATCTCCAAGGCGTGTGTGTGTGTGTGCGTGTGTGAGTGTGTGCGTGTGCGCGCGCGAGATAATGTGAAGACAGAGGAATTTAGGTGGGAAAATGGCCTCAGAGGGGAACCGCCCCCCAAGAGAAGCCGGGGGGAGATTACATGCCGGGACTGGGAGCATGGGGGCACCCCCTGGCCGCCTGGTGTCCATTATACACTGGGACTTCAGTCTGATTCAATGGCTCCCAGCGCCCCCCCACCCCATACAAACTGTTCCTGCATCTGGGGGGCGGGGAGGGGAATCCAGACATAGATCTGGGCCCTGGGGAAAAATCAGCCCCTCTCTGGCCTGAACCCCCAAAGGCTCGTCCTGCCCCCGGCAGGGGTGGAGCTCCCCTGACAGCTGACAGCCCTCGGGGGGGGGCACCCTCGTCCCAGGGGCCCCCCTCCTGTGCCCCCTGCCCCTCCCGCATCCCAGCTCCCTAAGCCCCCCCCCCAGCAGCCTCCGCGCGCCCCCTCCCCGAAATAGCCCAGAGACAACACACCCCTGGGCTCGGCTGCCCTGCCACGTGGACTGCACGGAGCGGGGAGGGGGGAGGCTCGCCCCAGGCACCCACGTGGGACCCTCCAGCCCCCCCTCCCCTCTGCACCTCTCGCCGAACTTACCCTCCGGGGGGGAGGGAGCGGGCTCGGGGGGGGGCGCTCCGTGCTCCCAGGCCAGGGAGGGGGGGTCGAGCGACTTCTCCCGCCAGCCCTGGCTCCGCGGGTCGCTTTCTGCCTGCTGTTTGCTAACAGCTGGGGCTCCACGCGGCTGAGCGCTGCTGGGTGTGCAGGGCAGGAAGTGAGAGGAGCCTGTGTGGGGGCTCTTTATAAGGGCATCAACTCTGCAAGTGTGAGAGAGCGAGACCAGGAGTGGGGGAGGCAAATAAGGAAATAGGAAGGTAGGTGAGTGAGAGAGAGAGAGAGAGAGAGAAAGACTAAAGGAAAGAATTTAAAAGAAGGAGAAAGAAGAAACTCAAGAAGAAGGAGAAGTCCTGTGGCGCTTCAGGGCAAGTCTACACAGCAGCGTTATTTCCGAACAACTGACGTTATTTCCAAATCACAAAGTGCGTCTCTACACCGCAAGCCGTTATTTCGAAACAATGTCGAGCTGGAGGACTTCGTCCGCCGAGGCCTGCAACCCTCATTTCACGAGGAGTAAGGGAAGTCGGAGGAAGAGAGGCCTTCCTTTGAAATGCTGCCGTGTAGACAGCGCCAAAAGCCGAGTTAAGTTACTTCGACTTCAGCTCTGCAGGTGACGTAGCTGAAGTTGTGTAGCTTAATTCGGCTTTTGCCCTGCTGTGTAGACGTACCCTCTGAGACTAACAAAAATATATAAATAGTATCATGAGCTTTCATGGGCACAGCCCACTTCCTCAAATGAGAGGCCCACAAAAAGCTCATGATACTTTATATATATATATATAGTTAGTCTCTAAGGCTATGTCTGCACTACAAGTTTTGCTGCAAGAACCTATGCAAATGAAGCGCGGATTAGCATTTTCTCATGTTTCATTTGTATACTTTTTTCTGATCCGTTTTGCACTAGTGGTTTTTGTGCAAAAACAAGCAGTGTGGACGTTTCCTTTTTGTGCAAAAACCCGTTTTGCGCAAAATCGGTATACCTCCTTTTTTGAGGCATAAGGATCTTGCGCAAAGAGGTTTTTGCACAAAAAAGAGGTTTTTGCGCAAAAAAGGGAGTGGTCCACACTGCTTGTTTTTGGCAAAAACCCCTAACGCAAAAACGGATAGGAAGAGAGTATGCAAATGAAGCGTGAGAAAATGCTAATCTGCGCTTCATTTGCATAGGCTCTTGCAGCAAAACTCGTAGTGTAGACGTAGCCTAAGATGCTACAGGACTCCTGGTTGTTTTTGAAGAAGGAAAGAGAATCAATTCAAGAATAAAAAGAAAAATGAGTTGGAAGAAATTTATTGACAAATGAGAAGTAATGCACACTGGAAAACATAATTCCAACACTATGTGCAAAGTGAGGGGTCTCAATCAGTTGTTACCACTCAAGAAAGACTTGGAGTCATCATTAAACTATCGGCTCCCTGTGAAGTGGCAGTCCAAAAGCTAGCAGAAAGTTAGGAACCACTAGGAAAGGGATAGCGAGTAAGACAGAAAATATCATAATGCCACTATGTAAATCCATAGTTCACCCACTCTTGGAATATTACATGCAGATGTGGTTGCCCCATCTCAAAAAAGATACATGAAGAAAGGGAAAAGTTCAGAGAAGGGCAACAGAAACAATGAAGGGTATGGAACAGCCTCCATAGGAGGAGAGATTGAAAAGACGGGGGCTGTTCAATTGAAAAAAGAAACAAGGGGGGGCATAATAGAGGTCTACGAAATCAGGATTGGTGTGGAGAAACTGAATATGGAGTGTTATTTACCCCTTCACATGCCTAGAGAACCAAGGTCACCCAATGAAATTAATAATTAATACAAACAAAAGGAAGTGTTTCTTCACACAACGCATAGTCAACCTGCGGAACTCCTTGCCAGGGACGTTGTGAAGACCAAAAACTGTAACTGGGTTCAAAATAAGAATGAGATCAATTCATGAATTGTCCATCAATGGCTATTGGCCACGATTGTAAAGGCTTCTATTATCCCATGCTCTGAATGTCTCTAAATCTCCAACTACCAGAAGCGGGGACTGGGTGCCAGGGGATGGCTCACTCGATAACTCTGTTCAGTTCCTCTAACGCAGCTGGCACAGGGCATACTTGGACAATAGGTCACTGGGCTAGTCAGGCCATGGGTCTCATCATTTTGTGTTCCTAGGAAGGAATTAAAGAATGCTCAAAAGATGGAAGAAGCAAAATACAGAGTGACCTAAAGAAGGAAAGAAAAAAATGAGTGGAAAAATGTTAGAAAGAACAAAGACATGAAGCAAGGGCCTACCGAAGGAAAGGATGAATAAGTGAAAAAGGAAGGAAGGAAAGAGCAAAACAGAAAGCCACTTAAAGAAGGAAAGAAAGAAGTGAAAGAGGCAGAAAGGAAAGGAAAGGGTTAAGGAAAGAACACAAGGGGGAAATGACTGAGACAAAGGATTTGAACCATGAAATGGAAGAATGTGTTAGAGAAGGAAAGAAAGACTGAATTAAAAGGGGAAAGAAGGGAAGGGCGGCTGAAAGAAAAGAATGAACTGAAAAAGGGAGGGCGTGGAGAGAGGAGAGAGCAGAGGGAATCGTAGAGGTGACACTGGGCCAGTTTGGGCTGGTGCGGTGCTCTGGTAAGAACTGGCCGCTGGGCCGGCCTGCACACAGCTGCCTTTTTGCTCTCCCCCATCCGCAGCCCAGCTGGTAGGGTCCAGCAGTTCTGTGCAGCAGCCATGCTAAAGTGCTGCCAGACCCTACCAACAAGGCTGTCCCCGGGAGGGGGGACCAAATGGGCAGCTGACCTGGGGCCTAGCAATTTAAAAGGGCCATGAGGGACTGGCTGGGGGGAGGGGGGGTCTCATCTTGTCCCTTTACATCTCCCACAGCCCTCTGGTGCAGTTGGAGCCCTCCCCAGAGTCCCATTGGCCAGGGGTTAGCAGCTGTTCGATCACCAGCTACAGCTCAACCTTTAACTCCCCAGGTGTCACCCATGGGTGCCCCCTCCCCTGGCTGGCCTGCGTGGTGGTGCTGCATGTACACGTGTGTAACTGTGCATGTGGCCGTGTGTATGTACGTATGATTATGCTTGGAGATTGAGTGTATGTATGGTTGGGTGTGGTGGGTGGGTGAACATGGTGTTTGTGTATACACACCTGTGGGGGGTTGTAGGAAATTGCGCATGTGTTGGCGTGATCATTGTGAGGTTGGGTATGTGCAGTGGTGCCTGGTGTGTGTACAGCTGACTCTGCCTGGCCTAGTTGTGGTAGCATGTAGCTGATTGTGCATGGGGTGTTTGTAACTGTGGATGATATGGTTGTGGCGGTGTGTGGCTGTGCATGGTGTATCTAACTGTGTGGTTGTGCGTGGGATGTTTGCAGTTGGGACGTGTGACTGTGCATAGGGTGTGGTCACATGTATGGTTGTGCATGGGGTGTCTGTACCTGTGTGGTTGTGCTTACGGTTGCGTGTGACTGTGTGCAACCTACACACATGCTGGGTGTGATGGACTGTCCCATCTAGTGGCACTGATACCACTTACCGGAAGAATAACGAGGACCCTTAGCTAATAGGAAGCTGGTTTTTAGCTCACGCACTAAGCTCCAGAGGTCTCAGGTTCGGTTCCGCCTGTTGGCATGACATGTGCATGGGGTGTCTTTCCCTGTGTGGTTGTGTATCCACAGGCTCAGTGCTACACCCCCAACTTTGGAACAGGCACTCAGATGAACCCTACATTGTGCCAGGCCCCCACAGGGTCTCACCCTGCTCCAGGCCTGGCTGCCTGACCCTTCAGCTTCATCCTGGGAGCTCTGTCAGGGAGCCCCCCCGGGACAAAGTCCCGGTTCCACCTTGTCTGTTTTCACTGGCCCTAAGTATTGCAGTGACGAGGTTCTCACACAGCACCAGAGGGCCTTAGGGAAGCACAGAGCCAGGCCAGTTAGAGCCCGGCCCAAACCCAGTGCCCAGCCAAGCCAGGGAGAACCCCTTGGTTCAGGCTCTGTCCCCATCTGACCTCCAGGCTCAGTTCCCAGGACAGAGCCCTGACTCCTTGTAGCCATTTCTTCTTCACCCCACCCCACCCCACCTCCCAGCCCTTTGCTCTCCAGCTGGGGGCTTGCTCAGGCTCCCTGTGCAGAGCTGGGGAAATCCATCTCCCCTCAGGGTGCAGGTCGCCAGGCAGCCATGTCGGTGGGGAGTGGATTTGTCATCCTACGAGTCCTTCCGTTGTAATGACCTGCTCAGGCTCCGACAGCCGCATGACGTTCACGGTGAGGTCTCCTGGCCTGCTCTGAGGGCAAACTGTCCTGCCCCCCCTTCCCCCCACTGGGTAACAGTGTGACATGCAAGGGGGTGTTTAAAGGCCTTGGGGGCCAGCTCCTCAGCCCTGTGACCAGAGCCACACAAGGAAAGAGGCAGGCATCCTTCTGGAGAGAGCCTGTGGAACTCCCCACCACTGGACGCCAGAGGGTTAATCGCTGCGGTGGGGCCTGTGGCGGGGCTGGGAGACTGCAGCGAGTGGAAAACTCCTGCCCTGTAGCCTTGGCTGATGGCAGGGTGCCGGTGGGAATGGCCCATGGGTGGTGCAGCTGGCGAAGTGCCCCACTCCCAGATGGCAGCGATTCCCCTGCCAGCATCAGAACGATCCTATTACAGCTCACAAAGCGCCCCGGCGGCCGCATGGGGAGACCACTCCTTCCAGAGCGTCCAGCGCCGGGCCAGTTAGCCCTCCCCACCTCCACTCAGGGCACAGCATCCCCAATGCACAAGGGAGGTTCTGACACTGCTCCCATTCCTCAGCCTGGCTCCCAGAGCCACCACTCCTGTTGGGCCTGGCCCTCTGCCCCATACCCCCACACACACACTGCCCCCCTCCCTAGTAGACTCCTTTCCCTTCCCCGCCCTCCATCACCACAGCTTGAAAGCCCTGGGTCGAATGCCAATGGCCGGAAGTCGGAGCACAAGAAGCTAGAACTCAGGGCAACGAATGCTTGGGGCCCACCTAGGCCAGGGCTGGATTCCCCCGTGGGCATCTCTCTGAACGCTCTGCTCTGGCTCCACCATGCAGGCAGCCCCGGGCCACGACTCTGGTCACAATGCCGGCCACACCACTGGCCTGGGAACCCAGGATCTCTGCCCCTCAGCCTGTCCCCAGATCTGCCAGCTGTTGGGATAATCCCGCTGGGCCTTCTTCTCCATCGCTCCTCTCAGCTAGTGCCCACATCCCGGGGAGTAACCGCAGGGCTGGCAGTATTTTTCCACCTGCACCCCCCGAGACACGTGGCCGTGGGGAGCAGTGCCTTACATCAGCACGGCCTAACCCCCTTCCTCTACAGTGCAGGACCCCAAACTGTGCCTAGAGGGGCATAAGGGAACATTCAGGGGAAAGGGCGCAGTGGGCCAGGAAGTCCCTTCTGGGAGTGGGAAGGGCCCCCCAGCCCTGGCCTCAGCCACAGCTAGGGATGGAAACGCCTGTTTAATTGGTTAACCAGTTAAACGCAATGTTTAACCAGTTAACCCATTTCAAGGTGGAGTGGACGGGAGGGGCGCACAGAGCGCTTGTGCAGGCAGTGCTGAGTCAATGGGCGGGTGGGGCGATATGTTACGCCGTTGATAAGCCGGGCAGAGACACAGACGGGGGGCAAACGTCGAGAGGGGGAGGAGGCAGCCCGGCGGGGAGAGCAGCTTGGGATCAGCGCTACCAGCGAGCTGCAGGCCCGGCCTACGCTAGGCCAGCGACCCGACGCTTTGGTTGGGGAAGCTGCATCTCCACTGAAGCGCCACCTGTTTTTCTAAACCCGCAAACCCTTCCCAGGGGCATTGGAGAGTAACTCTCCGGGGACGGCAAGGCTGCCTCATGCTACCCCAAAAATGCCCTGGTTTGGGTTCACCAACAAGGGGGCAACTGCCCCTGGGCCCGGTGATTCAAAAGGATCTGGGGCTCCCTGAGCCCACTGGAGCTCGGCGCCGCATGCTCTGGGCAGCTTTGGGGGCTGGCTGCCCCAGGCCCGCCCCTTCCACCTGAGGCCCCACCCCTTCCAGGAGTGTAGAGCTGCCCCCCTCCCCAACTTGCCTAGAGGCCCAGCAAGTCTGTCTCCCCCACCCCCCGGATTGTCTGTCTGTCTGTCCCCCCATCCCAGGGGTTGATCTGCAGACCAGGATCAAACAGGAACCAGCCCATCCTCAAGCTCTGGGACAACCCCGGCCCCCCACCTAGCAGCCAAAGATCTACCAAGTTGCATAGGCTGGAAGGGGAAACTAAAGGGGCTCTCAAACATCCTTGAACAGCGACCCCCTTCTGAAAACAAAAGTTACTCCACGATCCCAGGAGGGGGATGGACGGCTGAGCCCATCCCAGCTCCACTGCCCTGGGGCCTGTAACTTGAGGCCCCCCTGGCTGATGGCAAAGCCGGAGCCTGGGTCCCCAGATGGTAGGGCAGGCTCCTGACCCCCAGTTTGAGAACCCCTGAGACACATTCAGACTGGAAATGGAGCAGATAGGGTGACCAGCAAAAGGGAACAATCCCCCAAGTGGCACGGTGGAGTCGCCCTGTCTCCCTCATTGACAATGGAGCTGGGGTGTGTCTCTCACAGGTCTGCTCCAGTTCAAGCAGGAATTCAAGGAAGCCCTCGGATCTGCCTTACACAAGACACCAAACAAGAGAAGCACAGCAGCCCCTTCTGGCTTTATACAGGACTCCTCCCTATTATTCCAGCCCATTCCTCTGGCATTTTCCCTGCCACGCAGCCAACACGAATGAAACCTCCAAAAGCTCAAGTCAGGGGTATTAAAAATAACTCCCAGCTGGTGCCTTTTAATCCAACGTTGATCTCTAAGTAGCTGGGATGGGAGAATTCAGCCTCTGGCTGAACAGAGCTGCCATGTCATTAACCTGCGGTCAGCTCTCTGAATGAGGAGACAAAGAAGAGGAAATGACCCAATTAATATCCTGAGTTGTAAAACCTGTACCACAGCCGGGAGCTGTTAGACCAGCATGGTTATTAAAATCCACGAGCTCTGCAGGGCACCCTGGTGGACACACAAAGCAACAGCGGTCAGCTGTGCTTGCCAGGAGTTGGCCAAGGAGGCAAGCTCTTCACACGGGCATGGATCTGCAGCCACTGCTGGGGTGGGAGGCGATCAAAGCGGAATACCCTTCCACTAGGAGTTTGGGACAGGAAGTGCCAGGATGGCTGTGCGGGAGGTTATCCAAACGGGATCAGGATCCTGCCCGTCACACGCTGCCCCAAGTGAAAGTGCCAAAGGAACTAATGAGTACAACGAAAGAGGGGTGGAGCGTTACAGTGCACCAGGGAGAGAGACACACACACACACACTTCCCCACAGCAGAGCACCTCCCCTAGGGGAGGGATGAGCAAACTAGGACCCACAGGTCACATCCAGCACATTAGACTTTTTCATCCAGCCCTGGAGCTCCCACCAGGGAGTGTGCTCAGGTGCTTGCCCCCTTCACCGTCTGCTTCCTAGCTCCACCACTGAGTCGGAGGTCAGAGCTGCTGGTAACGGAGAGGCGCCCATTTTTCCGCAGCTCCCCAATTGGAAGGGGCCCCTGGGCACACCCCTTTGGGCCAGTGGCCAATCTGCCACTGGGAGGAGGTCAGGCCAGCGAGCATTTATGGCCTGCCATACAATTTGCCTACTTAGATGCCTACAAGGTTTGCCCACCCTAGAGCCACGCTGGGGTACTGGCAGAGGAAAAAACAGCCAGATGCCAAACTGGCCTCCCATACAATTACTCTATCTTGTAGGAAACCACCCTGACTAACCCATTCCTTCCACGAAGCGGTAAAAGTACAGACGCAGCCTGGTAAATGGGGGGTCAGCTGGACAGAGCAGAACTGGGATCGTATCCACTCAGGGATGGAGCAAGGCACCAGAGAAAAGGGTGGGGCAGAACATCCAGTTGGTATATCACAGCCCCAGGTCTCTGAACTGTCCTTGTAGGCAAAGACCCAGCTCACATAAAGAGGTTTTATTTTGGGGTGGAGGCACAGGGGTGAGTCCAGGCTGCAGTGAGGGAGGATGCCAGGCCATCATGCATGCTGTCCATGTTCAAGAGGAAGTCCCTATGCCGGTCCTGCCCCCTGCTGCATCCTTTTCATCAGCTCTTCATCTTGCATGGAGAGCTCTGTCAGTTTCTTGCCCATGCGCTCGTGGATGTCCAGGTACTTGGAGACGCAGCGGTCCAGGCACACAGACTCCCCCTTGGAGAGCTCCGCCTCCTTGTAGTGGGGAGGGACGCACTTCCGGTGACAGGCATTGGTCATTCTGGGCCACCAAGGAGAGGGAGAGCATGAGAATCCAAAGGTGTCCTGGTGAACCTAGTCCTGCCTCCTCCCCACAGGCTTCCCTGCTACCCCAATCCTGGGCTCCCTCCATACATCCTGCCCACATTTATGCCAGTGCTCCTGAATAACAACGTGCTGTTGCAGCTCAGAGCTCTGCCAATTCCTCTCAATCCCGACCCGTGGCCTTTTGATGTTCCAGTCCTCAGCTCCAGCACACCCACCACTGTGCCAATTCCACTTCATTGTGACCCACATTCCATCTTGGTTGAAAACTCATCACTGATGAGGAATACACCACGATCCTAGGAAGTTGCTCCAATGGCTAATTACTCTCACCATTAAAATCTCACACCTTATTTCCAGTCTAAATGTATCTAGCTCCAACTTCCAGCTACTGGACCATATTAGACCTTTCTCTGCTAGACTCTATCTTGCAGGAAACCCCACTATTAAACATCTATTTCCCATGTAGGTACTTACCAACCGACCCAGCCAGCACTTAACCTTCTCTTGGTTACCCTAATGGGTTCCCAAACTAGGGGGCATGCCCTGTTGGTGAGGCGTGAAAAAATACCAGGGGGGGAGTGGGGAGGTGACCCAGCATCCCTCCCCCCAATCATTTTATTTCTCAACAAGTTTTGCTGCTATTTTGTGTGTGTGTGTGTGGGGAGGGGGGGATTT